CCGGGTCGGGCCTAGGCCCGGGCAGGCCGGCGGTTCAAGAATGGTGGACCCGGGACCGGCCCGGGTAGCCACCGGGTCCGGTCCGGGTCCGGGCCGGGCCTCCGATTTGGTTTTTTTTTTTGCTTTCCTAACCCCCCCCCCCCCTCACCCCCCACCCTCCCAAACCCCCCCAAACCCATCCTACGGTCCTACCCCCATCAAGCCCAACCCGGGTGGAACCCCAAAAATGAAAAAAAAATATAAAAAAAATCAATTTGGCTCGGGCCCGGGCCCGATTCGGCCGGGCCGATTCACCAAATTTGAGACCCGAGCCTGGACCCGCGCTACCTAGGGGTGAATTCGGTTCGGGCCACCCGGCCCGTGACCCGGCCCGGCCCGGTACTGTGCGGGCCCAGGACCGACCCGGTCGGGCGGTCCGGGACCGGGTGTAGACCCGAACCGGGGGGAATGGGCGGGGCGGGCACGGTTCCGGAAAAATGTGACCCGGCCCGGCCGGGTCGGGCCCGAGTCCGGGTCCGGGTCCAACGGTCCTATTTATAAAAAAATACTAACTAGCCGTTATGGGTGGGCTGGGGACAACCCAAACGGCTATATAGCAGTTGGGTGGGGTGCAGGGGGTCCGGAAGGGTTGGGTGGTGGGGGGGTGGTGGGGGGTGGGGGGTTAAAAAACCTATAAATACTCCTAATCTTAAAAAAAAAATCATATCTCTTCTCCAATTCTTCCTAAATCCTATTCTTAACTCTCTACTCTCTAATTTTCTTATTCTCCATTCTCCAATATATTATATTTATTATTTTTAGTTTATATTAATTATCTACTTATATAAACTATAAATAGATATGAACAGTATTATATTACTTATATTTGTTATCTAATTATATATTAGTTATATATTTATTATATCTATTAATATAGTTGGAATTATATCTAATTAATTTGAAGTCATTCTATTACTCCCATCCGAAAGACCGAAAGTCCGAAAGAGGTACGAAATTATTCTATTATTTACACTTGTTTAATTTTGTATTAACGTTACTTGAAAAAAAACTAGTTAATTAGGTTGTACAATTTGCTATAACTCGAATTAATAGTTAGATTAATAATTAATTACTTTATTACAATTTTTTATTAATTGCTAGTTGCTACATTTGACTCTAGTTTAAAAAACTAGTTGTAATTCTAATTATAGTTAAAGTTAAAGTGTATTAATTTCATTGTTAGTAAAAAAAATATGTTGTACACAAAACTAGTTAATTCACTAGTTAATTTGCTATAACTCGAATTAATAGTTAGATTAATAGTTAATTACTTTTTTACAATTTTTTATTAATTGCTACATTTGAGTCATTTGACTCTAGTTTAAAAAAATATGTTGTACACAAAACTAGATAATTCACTAGTTAATTTGCTATAACTCGAATTAATAGTTAGATAAATAGTTAATTACTTTTTTACAATTTTTTATTAATTGCTACATTTGACTCTAGTTTAAAAAAATATGTTGTACACAAAACTAGTTAATTCACTAGTTAATTTGCTATAACTCGAATTAATAGTTAGATAAATAGTTAATTACTTTTTTACAATTTTTTATTAATCGCTACATTTTTTAGATGGATCGTCCTAGATATTCGGTTTATATGGGTAACCTCGAGCGCAACCGAACGAAAGAGCTTGCGAGGAAGAGATTCCGCAAAGGTAAATCACATATCGGCTCTTCATCTCAAAGTCGAGATGATTTTGATACGGGTTACGCAAGGAGGGATGAGGATGCGATGACCGACGAACAACTAGAACAAGAATTGCACCGACATAATTCCCGCTTTTTTCAAGACCAACCGAGGACCATTGACGAAGAAGAGCTCGAGGACGAGGACGACGATGTGGAGGAAGTAATTCCGGAGAGCCACGACGACGACGACGAGGAGGGTGACGGCAGCCATGACGCCGACCAACCTGCCTCATCCCAAACAGGTACAAAAAAAAGTAAATCTGAACTAATGGCTAATAATTTTTCTAAGTGGAAGGACCCGAACACCGGGAATTGGACCGCAACTTGCAATTGGTGCAAGAAAAACTATAGCTTGGGGATTTCCGGCGGATACGGATCCGCCACAAGACACCTTAAGTCCAAACACCCGGTGGAGTATGCAAAATTAGGCGGCGGAACGGGGAAGCAAACGCAAATATCGAGGTTTGCAAATAACCAACAAGCTTTTGGTAATTTCTCATACAATGATGCACAAAATTTGACAGGTATGGCTAACTTACTTGTTGAAGAAAATTTGCCTTATTTGTTTTCTGAAAGTCTTGTTTTTCGTGATTATGCACAAACTTGTTTAAATCCGCAATATAGAGGTTATAGTCGCAAAACGGTTAAGAAAGAAATTTCAAGGCTTTATGGTGCGGAAAAGGTAAGGTTACAAAATTATTTTGCAAACTTTGATGGACGTGTTACTGTATGTTCTGACATATGGGAGGATACTTATCATAATTTACATTATTTGGGTCTGACTGTACATTATATTGATAATGATTGGCATATTCATAAACGTGTTCTTGCTTTCCGTGAATTTAATGATCGTCACACCGCTGAACATATTTATATTTTGATTGAGTGTATTTTAATTGAGTATAATTTAATTGATAAGGTGTTTGATGTTGGTTTTGATAATGCTACTAATAATACTGCTGCTATTCCTAGATTGCGTGAATTGTGTGGTTCTACTTCTTTGATGGGTAGATTTTTTCATCAACGATGTGCATGTCATGTTCTAAATTTATGTGTGCAAGATGGTCTAAAAGCGTTGGGAGCATCGTTGGAGGTAGTCAAGGGGGGGATTGGACGTATTTGGGGTAATGGACAACTTAGGAAAAAATGGCATGATTATTTGATAGAAAGAGGTGAGAGATATGTGGCTTTTCCTAAAGATTTGTCTATTCGTTGGAATAGTACCTATAAGTTAATTGGAGTTCTTCTTAGATATAAACAACATTTTTCTTCTTTTATGAAACAATATGATAACTATATTATAAACTCGGCTGAGATCGACACCTGTGAAAAAATTTGTAATGCTTTGATATATTTTAATAATGCAACTGAAACTTTTAGTCATGTTTATAAACCTACCTCAAACCAATTTATTCGTGAAGCTGTTAATCTCGCCGGTGCTTTTTCAAATTTTGAGAATGCTGATTATGTGAGTTATTTTGCTAGTTTTATGAAGGAAAAGTTTTTAAAATATTATTCACATATTCCGCATATTTATGGTATTGCATTTGTTCTCGATCCTCGTTTTAGACTTGGTTCTTTAGAAGAATGTTTGAATTATTATTATGCTGCTTTTTTGGTCCATTGCCAATGTATGAGGACAACCCAATTGATCCGAAAAAAGAATACAACGAGCTTAGTGATATATTTTATGCATTATTCAATGAGTTTCATGCACAATATGGCAATGCGCCCCCTCCCTCGACACAAACATCATCTAAAGGAAAATCAATTTTCAAATCTACGTTTGCCAATCTTATTAAAAAAACGAAATCAACTCCTGCTACACAACAAAGCACAATTAATGAGATTTCTTTGTATTTAACTTATGATGTTGATTTTGAAGAAGATGATGATTTTGACGTACTAAACTGGTGGAAGGGAAAAGAAAGAATGTTCCCCGTTTTAGCAAAGATGACTAAGCAAGTGCTATCAATGCCGGTTTCAACGATTGCCGTGGAACAAGAATTTAGTTCGGTCGGCAATGTCCTAACACAAACCAGAACGAGGTTGAGCGTTGAATCTCTTGAGATGCTTATATGCTACCACGATTGGTTGAAAGCAGCCCGTAGAGCTCAAGAAATTGACATCACCCCATCCCAACACTTTATGGATGAATCTACAACCCGAGGGTGGCTCTACCTATGCCGAAGATTCCGATTGAATGATTGATTAGTATTTCATGTTTTAAAAACAATTGTAGTTCCTATTTAATTTTGAAATGTAGTTCTTATTTCATTTCAAATAAATGCACTTGAAGTTTATTTTTTAATACTTATATAAAACTATAAAGTATAAAATATAAATTATAAAAAAATATATATATTTAACCGACCCGACCCAGCCCGAGTGGGTGGTCCAACCCTCGGGCCGGTCCCGAGCCCATATGATACGAACCGGCGGCCCGACCGGGCCTCAACCCGGCCCGAATCCACCCCTAGCGCTACCCCCCGGGCCTAGGCCCGAACCAGACCCGGACCCGAGAATCGAGTCAATCCCGGTCCTGCACAGTAGCGGGCCGGGCCGGTCCACAGGCCGGGTGGCCCGACCCGAGTCCAACCATAAGCATGGGGGTTTAAAGCGGATACATGATGACAATGAAGCATATTAAGTCATGTGACAGAGCCAAAGGATTGAGAGGTGCAGGAAGTTCCGATTGATTACAATTTACAAAATATTTGTCTCTTGAAGTTTGTTATAATTTTCAAATGTAGTTCCTATTTCATTTCAAATAAATGCACTTGAAGTTTGTTTTTAATACTTGTATAAAACTATAAAGTATAAAATATAAATAATAAAAAAATTACTTTAACCGGCCCGGCCCGGCAGGTGGCCCGACCCGTGACCCGGGCGGGTGGCCCAGCCCGAACCGGACCCGTCCAACCCTCAGGCCAGACCCAGGTCCATGTGATATAAACCGGCGGCCCGACCGGGCCTAGACCCGGCCCGGGCCTAGACCCGGCCCGGGCCCAACCTGAGTCCATGCCTGGTTGTTACATTACACACTTGTTATATTTTCAGATCTCCGGTCAATTCAAATCTGTGGGTCATTGAAAAATCTTGCGTTGATATCAGACCTGTTTCGGAGGTTTCCAAAACTACTGACACGATATCGTGACTTGTCAGTCCTCAAATGCACTGTTTTGAGTAAATAAATAACCATACAATCTAGGCCCATTTCAGACCAGGGAGGCAGGGACCAATAGCCCATGTCCACCCCCGACTATATCTACAAGAACACAACATATCAATTTCCATTGCTCTTTAGTGTTTACATCATCTGAATAAGTTATCAATGGGATTCAGATAATACCTATCATTATATCAATGGGGAGCCTGAGTACAAGCTAATGACGAACTACAAAATTAAAACCCAAGAAAGACAAACTAGAAACACAAGCCCATATGGTAGAAACAGAGACATTAACTTTGGTGTTTACCATAACCTAGAAAGGAAAAAACAGGGCATTTGGCTCACATGCTGAACTAGTGCCTCATTGCCACTGACAGGAACAATCAAACAATGCCAACACTTCAGTGTGGACAGACTAACTGGGTAACCCACCAATGCCAGAACCTGCTCCAGTAATGCTTAAGCAGGGTAGTATATCTTAGGCCAGCTCGGGTAGGCACGTTTGAACAAACTCATGCATACAGTGTCGTGCTGCTGGAGAACTCCATTGAAGACGCATTTCATCGCCCCTATGAATCAGTTTTGAAAAAACACAATAAGAATCTTCTACAAAAGTATTTCAAATACTCCATTATTATCTCATTAATCTCACTAGGCATGAAAATTAAAATCAGTGAAAAACTGTCTGAAAGTTGTCCAAAGTAGAGATAAGCAATATGAACCAAAGATTATATTCCTTGAAAGGAAAAAGGAGTTCATATCAGGATGGGCGTAAAAGGAAAGCATGAAGCTCATCTTGGGACAGAGCTAGGGAGTACTATTCTTTTGTCGAAAGAGAGTCAGTTTCAATGTATCCAATATTTCATCAAACGAAATTTGAAGTCAAAACATCATAAATTTACTTTAGCCAAGAAATAAATTACACAAAACAGAAGTATAATTAATAAGTAGAATGAATCATAACTAACAAGTCCTGTTTAATTTGTCAAATAAGTCTTGTTTCAAAAACTGATGCTAGTTTAAATTGTTTAAATAAGCCTAGGTTTAAAGAAGCATTCACTCTGCATCACTCCTTTTGTCTAAATCAAACTTCAATTTAGGAAGACGAATAGTACATACCATGGGTGCCAAGAGGTTCCTTAACACGACCACGTCGACCACACTTTGTCCAAACCTCAACAGGCTGCCGAAACATAAAACAAATGTCCACAAAATTTATGTACATAGACACCATATGTTTTTTTAACACAATATCAAACTCACCTTGAACCATCTCACATCCTCTGGTGTGTGGAACATGTATCTTACAGAAGCTTTCATTTTCGACACTCTTAGAGGGTAACTGCATTACAGATAAGCAAGTGCCTAATTAAAACCTGCAGTTTCGAGAAAGCTGTGATTTGACATATCAACCATGCTCTAGAGATGACTGCCATGAGAGTTTCTCGACGTGAAAAGTATCATAGCAGCATTTGTATTGCTTCAAACGGTAATAAGTAGGGAAATTGCCCTAAATAGGGGTAAATAACTTTTGGAATTCCAAAATAGGACTATTATGTTTTTCTTCGCGTAATAGGAGTCGTTACTACCATGATTGAAAAAATATTGTCATTGATTATAATAAATACTGCCATATTGAATACACAGTACTGCCATATTGAATACACAGTAAATACTGCCATGTTAGTCCTCTTTCGGGAAGAAAAACATAGGAGTCCTATTTTGGAATTTCAAAACCTCATTTACTCCTATTTTGGGAAATCTCCCTGATAAGTATCACTCTCACCATGAGAAGGTAGTTTTGTCAAGATCCTAAGCCTTTGCTTGTAGCAAAAATGGTAGGGTAAGAGAGAAGACTTTTAATGACTTATAATAACGGTTTTTTATTTAGTTTTATCTTGGAAAATAAAATAAAAACGAATACCTGATTTAATTTAAAATATACTAGCACTGTCGTGAAAAGAAGTTCCCACTTTCCTTTTATGGATGTCCCAAAAGGAAGTTCCCATTTCTATAAAAGAAACCACTTTTAAGCAAAAAGTTGCAACTACCCTTACTTTTTACTTGATTTGACATAAAGCAAGGGTATACTTGGAAAGTTCAAAAAAAATTATCTTCCATAAATATGTGTGTAGGTCAAACCGGGAACTTAATTTCGGGACAAAGGGGGTATATTACTTTCAGATTTCCTTATCTTTATCCCGTACAAAATAGGAAACGTTTGAACAAATATAAAAATTTGCTGCATTGAGTTTGAAGCCTTTAAGCCAGATTTGTATTTTGCTACAAAACTCTACACCCTTCAAAACTTCTCCTCTACTTTCTTTTAACTTTGAATTGCCTGGTTCAAAACAGAGCACAATAGTTCTCTACTTCTCTATTTGTAATTTATGCTTCATATGCAAGGAAAAAAAGAGTAGTTGCATAGTAGAGAATATGGAAGGTAGAATAATGTTACCCGGTTAATATAATCTTCTTTAGAATAATCCTATCTGGGTCGATACATCTTAATGAACCAATAGCAGCAACAGCTGGTGAAGTTTCTTCTCCGTTGATTTTCAGGGCAACTAATGGTAGTGGAGGAAATGAAATTGGAGCATAGATGGATGCAATTGAAAAGCGCCCAGCATGCAGAAACCTCTCCATTTTGTGCTTGTCGGAATTGATATTATTGGAAGAAAATATTGGCCTAGTAGAATAAAATATCCAATCAAAAATTACCGAGTATTGGAATAGAAAAAAAAAACCTATTTTTCTGTTAGCCAAATTTTTTTATAGAAAGTACCTTGCCACAAACTGGCGAAACCCAACATGAAACAATAGTTCTTCTTTTGATTTTATAGGAGTGGTGTATGACTCGTGCTTTTTTACACTGCAAAGACAAACAACAGTGAACAGAATTGAGAATTTCAAAGGATAGGAATGATGTATGACTCGTGCTTTTTAAACTGCAAACACAAAGAATAAATAGTGTATAGAGTTGTGAATTTCAAAGGATAGGAATGACATGTTTTTACACTGCAAAGACAAACAAGTGTTTAGTATTGTGAATTTGAAGAATATACAAGTAGGGTACTACATCAGAAGAGATCATCACTTAGCCAATCAGAGGATGGCCCTTAGACTATCTGAAGCATTGCCCATATCTTCAGCAAAAGAGAGATATTATAGTGTGCGGGGCCCATGCTGGTTTGATTATGGCTAAGATGAGCCAATGAGAGATGTCACTTGCCCTTCAGGACAAGCAGAAAACCACATCTACACCCCCAAATAATTCTTGTTTCAACTTTCAAACATATTTTTTGGTCCCAAAAAGGTCCCAATTGAGAAAGAGAAAATCCTCATTTACTGTAATTTGCCAAAAACTCAGCCACGACGCCATTTTTTGGTATCATGCAAGTCCCAAGCCAAGACAAAGGAGGAGGGTGGTGCTTTGCTAGGCGTGTAACGGCCAACAATATAACTTAGTCAAATTACATGACATGAATCGAAATATGAAATCAATTAAACTTTGATTTCATATGCGATTCATGTTAGCCGGCCCCAAACTGTTTCAGGAACAAGGCTTGGATGCTGTTTGTACTGTAATTTGCTAAAGAATTGACAAAAAACATATACGAAGTATAAGTTACCTATTATACTTTTGTTAAACCAATAAATTGATTTAAACATAGAAGTATGACTCCCGATTTATCAAAGTTGTAACTTATTAAAATAAAGTTGTACCATATCAAAAAAATGTACCTTCACAAAAAAATAGCTCTTTATGGACAGAGGTAATAATTGAAAAAAATGTATCCCAATTAAACCTGAAGTGAAGGACGGAAATCTTGGACTCGTGTTGCAAGAGACCACATGAGACTACAGGCATAGTCTTCACAAGCATACATAACTTATTTGCAGCATGAAGAGACACGCCACTAATATGTAGTCTTGCATATGACCCTGCTGCTATGCATTCTGTGACATTGTTTTGTTCCATATCTTGAGCCTTAGCCAGCACATGCTTTTGTGTCTTACTGAAATTGTCAAATGCAAAAATTCTAGCATACTCAGGGGGTAGCGATTCCTGAAATCATAACCCCATAATATGAGATCACATACAAAACCACATAATATTAAAGGAGATGTGTTCAATTTAAGGAAGTACTTTGGGATCCCAGGAAGAAGTTCTGAAAGATTTTAGGCCTCTGTACTTGGCAAACCGCTTCCTAGCAGGAACATCTAGTGGAGCATCTACTTCATCAGGAAACTCTGGTGTGAAAAAGAAAGCAATCACAAATTGATCCATTATCAATGCACTGTCAAATACATCCAGACTCCAGAGTTGTAGAAAATATGTAAATAGATTGGTAAGATGAGGAACAAATACATCATACAATATGCAGAAAAACAAGCAGACGCAGATAAGATAAAGAATACTAGTACAATACCGCATAAATTAATGTGCCTCTAAGGCCGAGACTTATATATTATAATCATATGCATAAATAAATAAATCACCTCACCACAATGAATTCATTCCAAGCGGACAATAATACTCCCTCCATCCCCCTATGTTTGGGACAAGGGAGTACCGGAATATGGCAACCAAATTAAGAAAATATGAAATTGAATGGCTGAAATCATAAAGTGTGGAAATATAACCAAAACGGAGAATGGGTCAAACATAATGGGATAAAGGGAGTACCATATATAAAGTTTAATTGAGTGATATAACTAGTTCAGTTCATTCTGAGAAATCAGTTCAGTTTTAAGGCAAGGAAATCTGGACTGTGAAGCGCAAACATGAAAAGGGTGATTTTTTTTGGAAACTATGAGATTGTCAAGAATGATGATAATTCATCTGAAAGCTGTGTCAAGTTTTCATCTGTTTATGTCCATGGTTAAAGTTCAATATCTGGTTAAATATAGGTACTGTTTAGCTTAGCGAAGACTGGAAGTGTCTCAGCAGATTCTTCTATATTTGTGTGCTGTCACAAAATCACCAGTACTCCTTACCATAACCCTAAACTAAACCCAATTAATTTCAGATAAAGAACCCCAAGTTTGGAGCAATGGCATCATATGTCACATCTATCTATAACTGCAAATACATATGATTGTTGCAGGAAAAGAGATTAACCATGAATAGTTTTTATTACCTTCGTCTTCTGCATGAGCAGCTTTAATTTTCCTGATCTCATCCTCAATTTGCTCTCTCGTCATCTTATCATTTTCCTATAAAACAAATTGTAGTTTCCATGCCAAAGAAAATAGTAAAATGAGTATGTAACTATTGAGCAGTATGGATCTGGGGCTTGTATATAAGAGGTACATAGTTTCCTGGGTACCTTTTCAATCCAATTCCATTAGACTTTCAAAAATATTTTTTAAGTTACGACAAACATCACGTAGAAATCACATAGCACTTCCTCAACAGCAGTACTAAATGATGAACGGATCAACGCATTAAAATTACTCACCATCAAAACAGACTCCGTATCAGTTTCTTCATCTGAGTTCAGTGAAATAGAAGTTTGATCCTCATCAACAGCAAAGTTATCCTTATGCCATTGGTGGGGGGAGACATCTTCACCGTTATCTACTACCATACCATCTCCTCCTTCAGATTCTGAATATTCACCATCAGATCCATCGACAATCCAAGCAGCCTTTAATGAAAATTCTATTCCACTTAGCAAAGCAGTAGCATGAGGAATTGAGAGATTATCAGCACGAAAGGCTATAAACCTGGTAGTCAGAAGTTCCATGAGGAAGAGTCTTATGTTTCTTCTTCTTTTCCTTGTGGTCTTTTTCAGCTTCAACCATTTCTGCTTCAGTGGGCCATGTCTGATTAAAATATATCACATCATAGAAAAATATTACTCGGGAAAGAGAAGTAAAATAAGGTGTTTGAAGTGTAAAGAATCACTTGTTTCGTACTATGAAGTATGAACAGTTTAAAAATCTAATATAATCATTTCCGAAATAAGTTACAAGTCTAAAGGTCAATTAAGGCCTAAAATGAATGAAGTAGCTGAATATGCTGAAGTTGTGGCTAAAATGACTGCATTGGCCAGTTTCATCCATTTCAGCCCCAAAGCACCCGGTGCGCTACTTTTTTTGTTCCTGAGTGATTTGGCTAATGAGGTAAAATAAGTTGGTATTTGGTGAAAAATCAGTCTGTCAAGGCTGATAAGACAGACTAAGGGGTCGCCAAACAGGCTCCAAACCACGTCAAACAAGAGAAACCGAGAAACCGTAGTGTACCAAAGGTTGCTAAAATTGTATGGCGTATTTTTTATCAAATCGGTATAAGGATTTGAAAAAATGAATAGGAGATTCGAATTGTAATTCGTAAATCGTAAGAATTTATTAAAAAAATATGAAGACAAATAATAAATTTAAGCCTCAAGATGATGTCTTTATTAAAGTGCACAAAATAATTAACAACAAAATAGTGTTCCATATTTAAAGATTTCAACAAATAAATATGATGTTTTAATATCAAATTTAACAATAAATATATGAATGGTGAATGTACTATAAACATTAGTTGAAAAATTATAGTTATGAAGTATCTGAATAGTTCTAATCAGAACTACAGCTGGTGTCGGCGAGTTGGTAAACTACATGAATTTTTAGATGGAAGGTGAAGGGTTCAAAGCCTGTAAAAGGAAAAAAGCGCTTCTTTTTTTAAACTATTCTTTGTTATGATTTCTAACTTTCCCACACCGAAAAAAGGATGATTTACCCTCTCCGTTGGCATATATAATATGTGTCTTGTTCACATCAAGCACGCAACAGAATCCCTAGGATTGTTCCTCACCTGATGTAAATGGGCTGTGCTTGTTTTGGGCAAAATGTTGGTCCGCTCCATGTAATTTGAAATGATGAAGTCATTGGAAATCACGGTTTTTATCGGTTTATTCCGAATTATGAACGAATTTACAGGACTTTTAGGAAATCCAATTTTATATATGAATATAAATGATACTTTGAATTGCCAAATAATACGATTTTACGATTCCAATCCGCGATTGTAATAACCTTGACTGTACCAACCCTTAATAATCAAATGGGATTCTATTTAGGCAAGACAGCCACAAGTCGACAACTCCATTTATTTGGACACACCTGCTCTCCGGCCAATGGATCGGGTACATTTTCAACAAGTAAAGGATCTTGCTTTAGAGGGTCAGGGGTAAGGCAACAGACCACCTGAAATACATTGGAACCAACGCTTCAGTATATAAGCGAACAGATAGATATTTTCACACACAAAACTCACACAATATAATTGAAGCTTTGCGGATTTTAAGCTGAATATATCCTCTACAATAAAAGAAATATAGCTAGCTCTAGCATTTATTGAGAAACTTCATAATATAGATATGCAAAATGCAACAATGAAGCTCTAATACAGTATCCAAGCCTTAGTCCCAAAAGAAATTGGGACTAAGAGGGAAACCCTTATCACTGAACTTGCCAATCGAGGCTTTTCTAGAAGCACTACTCCAAATATTAGGGACTAATAAATCAAGGATTCTTTTGGGTGGTTGGAGGGAGTCACAAAAGTAAGCAGATTTACTTGTGCATCATCTATGTCATCAGACTCCATCACGTCATTTCTTTTTCTTGCATTCAGGCAACACGGATCCTTAAGAAGTTCAATCTTGGAGCACTGAAAATCTCCAACACCTGAAACGTGAACCTGATACATCCAGTTTATGTTAAATGTAGTAAATTATCAAGGTCAATGTCAATAATATTAAATCCAAGACTAACCAGCTGATTGACAGAGAGCCCGCGAGCACGGACATAACCTGTAAGTAAGAGTGTACACTTTCCAAAAGTTGAACCATCAGCTACAAATTCAACCTAGAAAATGCCAAAGCGACAGAAATAGGACCCACTATTAATGCCTTATTGAGAACTCTGAACATCACATAAAGCATACAGCATAGTGATATAGAGAAAATTATAGAAGCATAATAAACCCTGCACTATATTTAGTATTGATAAAAGTTGGAATAAATTATGATGTTTTTTCAAAGTTATTTTAAATTACTGGAAAAGTAGTTTCCAATGATGAAAATAACGTTTCATTACTTTCATATTGCAATGTATTGATGGCACATAAACAATGGAGCTACAGTTCAAAAGGAAGAGACAACTACTTTCCAAACAATCGTTCACTGGTAACCACATACAAACATACAAATAAATAAGCTTGTCTGGTTGGCTAAAGAAGGTAGAGACAGAAGTGTTACAGAATAAATGATCAAGGGAAAAAATGAAATCATACCTTTTGAGCCATGACATAAGGTCGCTGGTTACGCCAATGCGGGGATGTTAGTCTTTGCTCTTTAAAGAGCCACATGAACTAAACGCAGGGTACACCGTAAAATATCAATGAACAACACACAGAGAGAAACATAGGAACGTGTTAGAGCATAAATGCAAATGGAATTGATGAATCACATTATCACAAAACCTTTCTCCTTCAAGCAGTAAAACCAACAATACCTTATGCAAGTCATCTCTTGTATCTGCTGGATAAAATTTACAACTCTCAGGAAATTCAGAAGAAAGGCTAGAAATGCATGCCTTCTTCAAGTCCTGTTTTCTTTTTAATTCAATGGGCAAATCCTACAGTATTGAAGAAATATATAGTAAATTTGTGAATTCGCAAAAGGTAAGATAAAAATTAAAGTTTAATTTAAAACTGTAAATTGAGAAAAGAAGCAAGGGGCAACATCGCATACTCACACGAATGAGTACTGCAGTGCTTGGAAGACCAAGTGCTCTAAAGATAGAGAGGCAATGGAATCCAAATGAATCAACATAAGGACAGTCTTCTTCACTGGAAACACTTGCAGATGCTACGAAAGCAATCAAATCAGCAACCTGAAAACATCAACCCGTGAAAGATTAGATCGATGTGATTCAATAAACAAAAAGCGACATAGATAAAAGATGATGCTCTGAACACCTAATGAATTGAGTACCTTGGCCATCTCCATACATGCCAACAGATCACCATGAGGTGCTATCAAGACCTGAGACAGCTAATATTCATTAATACTAGTGAAAACTTAAACAAAGAAATATACTTTGCAGAACAAGAAAATTTAATATATACTAGTGAAAACTGAAACAAAGGAAAATACTTTTGAAAACAAGAAAAGTCATTTGATATGTAGTCTAACATTAATCTGATCAAGATTAATAGAATTGATTATATACCCTTTTAAACAACCCCCATATGAGTTAATGCCATCACCAAGTCCCATCATATATATGGTAACTTGAATCACACTACCTACCAGCTGTTCCCACATCACATCGTAACATGCTTATCAGATTCATTAAAACTTAAGAAAAATATTATACTTGGATCAACCCACACAGACTGGTTTCTTCTCTCTCTGCCTGGTTCTAAATTATTGTTTACACAGCTACCATAGATAAGTGAATAATTCTATGTTGAAGCTCACTTTGGGAAGAAAAAAATCCACATAAGCTTGAGATGAATGGATGAGCTTGCATAGAGAAACACCTTGGAGTTGGGGTATTTTAAAGGCTTGAAGTTCACACACTTTATTTTACTCACTTGTAAGCACATAAAATCTAGGCATTTTAGTCTGCAGTGAGAAGGAGTTTAGAATTGTCACAAATGTGGCATTACTTCAAAAATAGTTATGATAGTTACTGTTATCTGTTAATTTTTATTAAAAGCTTCCTCGCTGGGAGAATGAGTCCAATGAGTTAATAATCGACAAAAGACTCATCTTCATTTCATTGGGTAATAAACCAAGCCGGCAGATCAGTACATGAACACAACCCCACTTTATTTGAGTCCACCGAGCCCCCTCCACCCAAGGGAGGGCACTGTTGGAAGTCAACCAATAAAATATTTCTTAAAATGCTCACGATGTCCAACCATAAAGATAAATAAGGGCCGAGGGGGGTAACGCATAGATGCAGAACCTACTGTTGCTCTTAGCTTAAACTCTGATGATGCAACTGCTGGAAAGGCAGAAGAAGGGCCATCAGGTGATAATAATGTTAGAATATCTTGTTCAAGTGAACAAAGGTCTACAGATGCAGAAAGACCAAAAAGGACCTGAAAATGAATATAAACGGAGAAATATGTTTGAGTTACTTTTTGTGTACACTTTCTAGTATTACAAATTACAATGAGTAATATGAGAATGTAAAATGAACCACTTGCCATGATACGGGGAGGAGCTTTTGATCCTTCTCTTTTCTCCTTCAAAAAGGCTGCCTTCTTTTGCTCCCTCAGCTACAAAGGTTGGAAATTTATCAAACTTAGGACAAATGATACACATACTCCGTAATATGACATTGGAACTAAAACCCGATTAGGATTTGCACAACCAATTCCGGTGTGTGCTAAAATCAATTGCAGAACCAACGTATTAGGATCTTAATCCAAAAAGGCACACATTCCAGCTGATGTACTGAATTCCCATTATTACAGGTTTACATAAATTATGTACTCCATATAAATCATCAACTTTTAGCATTCGCTTCGCATACGCCATAATCTCTTGCTATGATAAAAGAATGTGAAATTAGTCAAATTACCATCTTGTTACGCTGGAGACGAGCAGACCGAGCCCCCTTGATGGTATTTCGTTCCGTCCTGATTGAACTTCCTCTATCTAAGAAACGGAATTAAGCATTAAAAACTCTTCTCGGAATGAAAAAGCATGAATTGAGCTGGTCTTGAAAGGGATAAAACCTATGGATGGAATCTTGTGAGCATTGCGAGAAGCCTTTGAAGCGAACCGAGTCTTGTGTTGCTTGTTTACTTGAACCCGAGAACCGCCCATGGTTGTCGTCGTCTTCTCGTCGCTGCTGCGCAGAAGCGGTGTTGATGGCTGTGATAAACCCTTGAACGAGGTTTCAGGGTTTTATATCTACTTGTTTGGAGTTAACAAAATCAGTTTTTAAAAAAAAAAAATTGGGAGAACTATAGAAAGCTTCTGACTTTCATAAAAAGTACAAATAAGTCATTTTATAGTAGGTTATGTCCCCCATCGTCGTTTGGAACGTTTTCCGGTGGAATTATTTGATAAATTTTTTTTGAGCATATTCTTCATTAAGTCTAGTTTACTCATATCAAATTTCAGCTAAACATTCAATCAGGAAACTAAGGCAGTCAAATGAATTTTTGAAGATAACTGCGCGGTTAGCCAGCGCAGTATATTTCAGAAAATTATTTGACTGACTTCTCGATTGAATTTTTAGCTGAAATTTTCTGTGAATAAACTAGACTTAATGAAGAATATGCTCAAAAATTTAATCAAAAAAATCCACCGGAAACCGCTTCAAATGGCGACAGCCGGACAAAGCTTCCTGTAAAAGGACTTATTTGCACTTTTTATGAAAGTTCGAGTGGCTTATTTGATAGTTCTCCCAAAAAAATGGATCCCCCCCAAATAATGTTATACGAGTACTACGTATATGTATAAAAAATATTTGGAATACTGTCATAGAGAAAATTAGTTAGCGTCTCACTAAAATAATGGTACCTCCGTCCCAAAAAACTTTGTCATTTTCAAAACTTTGACTACTATATCTTTTTGTTGAAAATTATTTATAATATAAAAGTTACGGAGTATATGAAAATGTTCTTTGTTAAAAGTACTTTAATAAAAGTATAAAATTTATAATTTCCATAACATTATACTAATCAAAATCAATGTTCAAATTTTTTAAAATGACAAAGTTTTTTGTGACGGAGGTAGTACTATATATGATGATTTGTAATTGGAAAAATCTAAAACTACCCTATTTTGTACCTCATTTTGTACCTCACCCTATTTTTGTGGTTCACAAAAACAATGAGTTAAAATGGAGCAATTATTTTGTTGGGTTGAGATTTTGTGAGCCACTCAATGAGTGAGGTACAAATGGGGTATCTCTAGCATTTTTCTTTTTAATTATTGTAACTTTTTTTATTTGTACGTCGGTTGCTTCAAAAAATATATCAAAATTCATAATTTTTTATTATCTTTCACAAAACATCTATAGGAAATACTCCACAAACTTGCATATGTTATTTAAATACCTCAAACTTTATATAAAAAGTTATTTTAGTACCATAGTCAAGTATTATTTCTTTCAAAAATGTAAATTTATGGTGTCATTTGCATAATTTAAAATCATTTTAGAATTCATGATGTTACCCCCAATCTATAGGAAATAAACAATGTTACCCCCAACCCCAATCTATAAAATTGCAACAATTTTAATTTTCTATTTTAAATTATGCAAGTAACCCCATAAATTTACATTTTTCAAAGAAATAATACATGGCAATGGTGCAAAAATAAATTTTTATTTAAATTTAAGGGTATGTAAATGACATATGCCATTGGAGTGCTTACCTCACACCCCTTCAAAGTTTGGGGTATTTTTATTAATTTTCCCATCTAAAAAAACATAATTTAACAATTTAGAAAAATATTTGTTTTTGGTGTTGTAATATTTTTATTTGAATAACGATTGTAACAAAAAATATATTAAATTTATAACTTTGTATTATTTTTTATAAAACCAATATTGAATATATTAATATAAAAAAATAATTTAACATTTTATAACATCTATTTTTTAAGAGTTGCAACATTTTTATTTGTAATCTAACTGTTAACAAAAAAAATATAAAAATTCATAATCTTTTATTATCTTTAATATGACTCCAATATTGAATATATTAAAATAAGAATAATACTTTGACACTTTAAAAAACATCAGTTTTTAAAAAAATGTTATAAATTTTATATTTGTACATTGATTGTTTCAAAACAAAATCAAATTCATTACTCCAATGTTTATTATTTTTCATATGACACCAATGTTGCATAGATAAATAAATAAATAACTAGTAATTTTGCAGTTTATGATTGTTTTTTACCGTGTGCACTATTAATCCGCAGTGATGACTTAGAATAAAAAGTAAAGTCTCACACAAAAAATAAAATACATTTATAAATAAAAGTGTTAAGTTTGTATAGTTTTATTCTAAGCTATTACTCGTGTTTAATAGTATGCATGGTAAAAACATGATCCTAAACTGCATAAATTGATAGAACAACTTTTATTTTTATATATGGAACATTAAAAGATAATAAAAATTTATGAATTTTGATATATTTTTGTAATAATCAGAGTACAACTAAAAAATATATAGTGCTCTAAAAACAGATATCTTTTAAAGTGTTATATAATGTATATTTTTTATTCAATATCGGTGTCACATGAAACATAGTAAAAAGTTATGAATTTTGATATATTTTTATAACAATCGTAGTATAAATAAAAAAATTGTAGCACTTTAAAAGAAACATGAGATTTTATTTTGGTGGACCCCTATCTAATAGTCTTCTCTTTGACCTGTCTTGTTACGTGCATTATATTTTTCCCTTAAGTCACCACTTCAAGTGACGGTTCTTTTAACTATGGTTTACTGGACAGTATTTTGGGAAATACTTTTAATTTGACAATAGGAGGGGTGTATGCATTTGGGACTTTTAAAGACTTTTAAGACTTGTACAAACATGAGATTTTAGTAGACTTCTTTATATTTATAAGGACTTTCCTAGATTTGTGTGGATTATGGATATGTATTCGCATCTCCCGGACCGGGAAGTGATTGAGCAAACTCAACCCGAGTAATTTGCATTCCCACACATATCCAAGGTAAGGAATCCTGTTTTCACATAGCTGCAAGTATTCCACCCTCCACACTCCTACACCAAACCAACCACATTGTTCTTCTTCCCTTGCCTTTTCCGATTTCAATTCCTAAAGTAGATACTAGCAACTTCATGACATCTGAAATGAAATTCCTCTATAGCAATGACCGCATCTGCCGATTTCTAGCAACACCTTTTCCATAACACATTTCGGTCTTCAAGTTCTAACTTTGAGTAGCAATCTATTTATCAAACATCATTACCCATTTCCAAGGATCCCGCTAGCTCGTTACTCCCTCCTATAGTCATATCTATGTGAATGAGAAGAAAAAACTTTGAAGGTAGAATACTTGGACAGCGAAGCGCAACAGCTTTTCACAAAATGTCTCAACAAATCTCACGTAAAGAGGTGAGATTTGATAATGGGATTTCCCATTATATTCTCCTGGTAATATCCTACTAAATCCCATTTCAAATGACAACCAAAGTCCACTTTATATTTTAAATACACCAAGACTTTTCTAGATTTCGAAAATGTTTTAGAATATCTCAATTAAATACATCTGGATTTTGGAAATCCTAAAATGTCTTTAAAAGTCTCAATTGAATACACCCTCTAATTTGGAGAAAACTCTTTTTAACAAAATAATGTTAAATAAAAAATTATTTACAAAATTAAAGTTAGGTTAAAAATATTTATCAAACTCGCCAAATAGAGTGACGACTTACAAGCTGGTAATGAGTTTGGCGACTATTGCAGAATACGCAACAAGGCATCCAAGAGAAGGGAGAGAAGTAGTTCATGGGGCCCATGGTATAAAAATCACTTTTCTCTAAAGTTCTATAACTTTTTATGTTCTGCTTCATTTTTATAAAAAATATATCAAAGTTCATAATTTCTACAATCTTTGATATTGGATGTATGAAGTTTAAAAAAAATTAAAAGCTTACTAAACAACCTTTCTATTTTCCAATTTCCATACGGATTATTTCATATTAAATAAAGAAATAATTCCTATTATATGAAAATGTGGATATGGGGTGGAGATGTGACTTTGTAATTTTTTGTGATCATAATTATATTTAAATTTTAAACTAGTGTGGCTATAAAAGAGTACTTATAATCAATATAGAGCCTGTTTAATAGTCAAGAGATGAATTAACATTTTCTCTTTGATAGATTTTCGTATAAGCTTGTGTTGTATGCTATAGCTATATATCTGCTTCTTCATTTTCACATTCTTTTGTATTTATAGACCATTTGGTGTTGAATGTCTCATGTTGGCTGAGCAGATTCAATATTTACCGTTGATTGATCCACTTGGTTGACTATTGAGGAGTATGGACTATTTTTTCTACATACAGCGTGCTTGCGTCCCTTTGTGTATTTATACTACCTCTTCACCGTTTGAAGTTTTTCGGGGAATTTGGGTTCGATATATAAAATCATTCGCCGTATTTTACTTTTGATTTCCAGACAATCCTTTCAGACGCTCATAAATACTTCTACTGTTTGAGGGTCTCATGCAAATAATTTTGACAATCCTTTCTTCTCAATAATATTGAAGTCCTTCAAAAAAATATGTAAAGGTCATACACTTTGATCACAATGTGTTGCAATTATTTACCTGGCCTTTGTTTTTACTTTTACCTTCTTTAGAATTATTGTGGGTCCCATCAAGAGTGATGCTTTGTGAATTTGACTCTACTGCTACAGACAAAATTGTAGAGAAAATTCTGGTAGTTAACTCTGGATTGGTCAGCAAGGTTTGGTGCCGAGTTTGGAAGACGGCTCTGGCTGATGAAGTTCATTGACAAGTAGCTGGTGAGCTTAACATGACTCTAGTTAACTCTTTTTTCGTACCTTTTTTTTCTTTTGATACTTTCATTCTTCTAGTACTCTTCTTCTTGTTTTCTTTTTTGCATGAGTACTTTTCTTCTTTTTAGGAATTAAAGCAGCAGAAATTACAAAGTACATCACCCAAGCTTATAGTCTATTACAGGTGTATCAAAAGCAAAAAACTGTTAAATTTACAACTCCGGCAAATGGTAAGAAGATTAACATGCCATCGACATCTACTCAAATTATCACAACACGTCATGATGAATCTGATGGGGAGGAGGTCTTTCTAGACTCCAAGGAGCATCCAGTTACGCTTGAGCCATGCCAAATACTCAACCAGCAGGAGGCTAGTCTTTTGCTTCAACTTGAAGACCATGGAATACATAATAAAGGTCATAAGGATATCCCAGCCTTTAAGGATTATTT